TGGCAAAATAAGAGGTAACATCAATATAACGTGAAGCACTGATCGTAAGCGCCACATCATTATTAATGCATTAGCAATGAAAGTATTACATGTTATTATCAAGTTATTATTTGTTTTTACATTTAAACATAAATGACTGTATCAGTGATGTTATGGTGTGCAAAGTATCATTTTTACCACTAGAGGACAGTAAATATACATGAGTCTGACTAAGGTCAGGTATGTGTGTTTTCATTATAGACATTTTATTACTATATACTTAATTCTACTGCCTTATGGTTACCTATCTGTATATGTTTCCTTGTGGGAAAAAATATATTTTCCTAATATTAGGAAATAAATAAGTACACACGACTTGCCATGCTTATTTTGGAGTGGCTGCTGGTTTATTATTTTGGAAGTAAAATCTATTGTTCACATTTATTTTCTCATTTATTTAAATTGATTTAAATCTTTTATAAACGGTTTTAGAGGGCAGTGCAAATATTTGGTCACTCCAGATGATTCCTGCATCCTTGCATCCAGATTTTATTCTGCGGTAGAGTCATAGAGTAGAGTGATATCATCAGTCACAAAGTGTCTTGTTCATGTGCAGTCTTCAGGTAAGGAAATCCCAAAAAGGAATCCAAGTGAAGAAGACCCTTGGATGAGTGACGCTGCAACGTTTCTCCCACTGAAAATGATGAACAGAATCAACTTTTTGGGGCCATCAGTCATTTCTTTTCTCCAAAACAAATGAAAGTGCAGGGTGGGGAAGAGCTAAAGTTTCATTTTACAATGTAATGAGTGTATTTTTTTTTTTTTTTAATTAAATTCATTTTGTATTATTTTGTCACTGCTCTATAATTATTAATATTTTATTTTTAACGGACTCCCTCACAAGACAAAGCCTTCAGTATGGGACTAGGTTACTTTAATTGTAGATTATACTATTTTTAATTTTCTTTGCTCCGTTGCTCTTGCTAGCCACCTAGAGCTGCAATACCTGAGGCTACCACTAGGTAGCAGCGTTAACATCGAGAACCCTTTCTGAGTTTCTGTGAAGAGGAAGAAGGAGGAGGCGGGACGAGAAGAAAGGAGATGTGCGTTTTTAAATGGGTGTGTTGTTTCCGTGGACGTGTTTTAAGCAGCCACGAGACATTCGTGATTTCTCTCTCATGTTGTGAGCTGCCGAGACTCAGTTTAAGGTTTGTACCTCACAGCAGAACTTGTGTTTTAAAAGTGTGTAATGAAAGTTACTTTCGTCCAGTGAGCGGCAACAGAAGTTCACAACAGTTGTTAGCTTTATCCCAGATTTTGTTTCTGGGCTAGTTTTTATTGTTACTGGGGCTGAACTGAGGATGTGTTGAGCCGTTGGAGTAACTTTTAAATAGGAAGTGTTGGGATTTAAGCAGCCAGATTGACTGTGTGTGTTTTTCCTCCTTCTCAGTCACTTCAGACCTGTGTGGAGATGCAGAGCAGCAGCAGTGAGAGTGGGGCTGACTTTGAGCAGCTGAAGAAAAGATGGACGGCCTTGGTGAAACACTTAAAAGATGACCCCAGGGTAACCCAAAACTTCACACCTCCACTTGTCAAAGACTTTTATGTTTTCACTAATTTGTGTGCATCAGCTGATGGTTTGTCTTGCAGCTGCACTGAAACCTGATCTCTTACAGGTAGCACAGTTGCTGAATACGAGACTTGGGCGGTACCTCAGCAGCCACTCGTTTGTAGCTCTCACAGCTCTGATGTTCTGCGCTATGGCTGCAGTGCCTGTTGGACTCTTTGTCACTTTTGCTGTTGTGACCATGATGATATCTGCAGTGGGTTTTGTTTTCTGTGAGGGTAGGTGTGCTCACCCTTGCGCTGTAGTATTTTATGACACCGCACCACCTGGTAGTCACAAACCTGTCACCTGTGTTTGCTCTCTCAGCATTCCTGTTGTTTGTCGGAGGGTTGGCTCTGCTCTGGGTGCTCTCTGGTATCGCCCTCTTCGCCATCGTGGCCTCGGCCGTCGTCAATGTTTTGCATGTCACCACTTTCAGCCTGTTGAACCATTATTACCCACATCTGACAAAGGTAACATACTGACAATTAAGCAGGAGTTTAGTTGCCTTGTTTGGAACAAAGTTTGTGTTGTAAATTAAAGTGGATCTATTATACTCATTTTAAGTTCAATGTTATTATTCATGAGCTCTACTAGAGTAGCTCTGACATTCATCAGACCTTCATTTACTGTCTGAAACAACCTTTTAGCTCCCTTAAAGACAACTCTCTTCTGATTGGCTGCCTGAGAGATGAGCTACTGGCTCACAGGTGTTACTTGCAGATTAACTTTTGACTTATTAAATATGAACTGTATACATTCAGTCGTCACTTTATTAGGTACATTTCTTCAGCTTCTTGATAATGGACCAAAATCTGAGGAAGATTTCCACCACCTCATTGAATCTGTGCCATGAAGAATTAAGGCAGCTGTGAAGGCAAGCGGGGGTCCAACCCTGCGCTAGTAATATGTAACAGAAAATAAGGAAAATGGCAGGTCCTTTTTAGACATAAACAGGCATACATTTTCATATCATCGGTTAATGGTAAAAAGTTTGTAGCTTGCATTGGAAACGTTTGTTTTCTTAGTGGATGTAATCTGTTTTTCTCTTCGATAACAGAAAGGTGTAATCGAGGGCGAGAAGACAGAGTGTGAAACTTCAACAGAGAAGGACTCGAAGGCCAACTAGTTTTTCTTCTTCTGCCTGCCTGAAGTTTTGAGTCAGCCCTGCTGAATCCGGGAGGTTGCGATGCAGTGATACAGACTCATGAACGTGCACTGTGGTGTTTTGTTTGAAATCTGCTGTTGTAGCAGATCTCATTGTTATTGTATGTCTTAAGCCTAATATTGTTATTATTTCAATAGTCACTGTAGTGGAGAAAGAGAGAGACCCATGGAATAGCTAATATTGAACCTACCTCATTTGCTAAGTCAAGCAGCCTTGTTTTAATCAAATGCCAAAGACGCAGGCAGCGTTCCGATCTGAAGAGTGAAGCCGATGACGAGATGTTTTAAACGTGCACTCTTTTAATGGCCACTCCTTTGATTGTGTGAAGACTTACAGCTGTGTAGTAGTGTGCCTGTGTTATTTATCCATCCCTTATTTGTAGCGTCCAGTTTTAAAAACTCTCAAAAACATTCAGTGTGAGGGCTCATTGACCAGTGAGGGAGGCTTTATGTGAGGCTCATTTCAAGAACTAGAGAAAAGGGGGAACTCATGCACTTGCAGTGTTACTTTATCCCCCCCAAAAAAGGTCATGCACTACTTCATTACAGATGAACATTTTGTTAGAATGGAAATGCCGATATGTTTGTGTGTTCGACTGCAGTGTACAGCTACTTGATGTTAAGTGAAATGCACCAAAAGGACTGTCATGTGTTTATGTTTGCTGTTACGGGTGAAGAGGAAAGCTTCGGTCCAAACAGGGGTGAAAATATTCTGATGGGTCGCTCCAAAAAATAAAGAATGGTGACAAATGTTGTGTAGAACATGCAGTTGTAGTTATTTACTGTACACAGCTGTTTATTGGTGTGATATCAATCATAATGAGGCCAAACTCCATGTACTGAGAAGATGTTTATCCATATTGCATATTGTGTATCTGATGACTGAACACAAATTAAACATTGTTGGGGTAAACTGAACCCAGTGCACGCTGTATGGTATGTTTCGCTATTCTATCAACATTTCTATACTTTATTTCTCGTTATCAAAAACCATCTGGTCTTTGCTTCATCCAAGTCACATCTCGGGTTTATCTGGCTTTAGCTGGAGTAAGGGAACTCTTGTTGAATTTAGAGATAATGATGTTCATTAGTTGTTTGATCCCTGGTTTGTTTCTGGGAAAAGACATAAATGCAGCCTCAGGAGGGGTCATGAGTCTGCGTAAATGGGAGGTTTGCGTCAGGAAGGGTATCTTGTGTAAAATCTGTGCCAAATCAAGTGTGGATTCATTTCGTCCGCCCTCAGGGCATTGGAGTAGCTCAAACTACGTTAGTGTTTCTCCAGTGTTTTCTATGAAAGCTGAAGTGATGGAGAGGCGTTTTGGACCATTCCTCCCTGGGCTGTATCACATTTGATGATACGGCCACTCAGGCATAACTGCTGGAAATGGTGTCTGCTACTTGCAAAGGCTATGTTGTAGACAGAAGTAGAAATTAAAAGGAGGGAAGCAGCATGGTTTACACCAACTCTATGGACGCTTCAACCACCGAAAAAAAATTCTCAAAATATCTAACTTTCAAAACAATAAACTGAAGATTTTGAATTATGGGCGGCAAAAAAAAAAATCTTTTTCCAGTGGCAGAAACAAGCTCCCACACCAACCTTCTTTCAGTACAAACAGCATAGAAAGGGCTCTGGTACATTGCAACCATGCTTCCAGTACCATCTCCAAAACCTGGAAAACCTGCTCCCGGGTTGTTCTTGGAAGAGTTACTGGGACAAGGATGAGAAAGTCCAGGCTGACGCTGAACACACCACGTGTACTCAACAGTATCTTCAATTCAAATATATGAAAAGTAAGAGTGAGTGAGTGATACGGAAATCCTGACAAATCCCATTTTGTTTAAACTGTATATGCTGGAATTTTATTGCAAGTAAATGCTGCTTTACTTTCCCTCACATGCTCTATTTTGGTTGGTTGTTTTTTAAGCAATTCTATTCACTCTGTAGCAAGTATATGAATTACTTTGTGTAGTAGCCCTTGATGGTTGACAGTCACAAGCCAGACACTTCTGTTGCTCATCTTGAACTGTCCACAGCCAAAGGTGTGGAGGATCTTAAGTCTTTATTTTTATCTCTGGCAGTTCATCTACCTTTCTTCCTTCATTTCTTTCCTCTTGCCTCCTTCGGGACCTATTTTTTTCTTTCTCTGGTTATCATCATTTGTACCTTTGCAGATTATATATTTAACAAAAGACATTACAATTTCGATTGGAAAAATAAAAATCACTCACACACACACACACTAGATATGATTCTCATAAAATCTTTAATGGAGGTGATAACATGCAAAAAAAAAAAAGAATAAAATGAATCAATTATTTAGGAACGCCACTATAAAAAGAAACGAGAGGCCTTTTTAGCAATGCACCCGTTGGTGACCATCGCACCTTCTTAATAACTGAGCCATACAGGAAACAACTGAGATGTGACAATGTGCTGGAGGATAAACAGGGAAGCATCCCCATTGTGGGAAAAGTGGCGATTAGTTTTGTCCCCATTCCCAACACTTCAGGATCCACGTAACTGGCACGTCGCCACCGGAAGGCGTTCATGAGTTTGTTGCTGGGGTGCGGTGAGAGTTTGTGCTCTGTCGACATCTATAAATGTGATGCAGCATTTATTCAAGACTGTGTGAAGCTATATAACAAAGAACAGTGAGCATAATATAAACCGTTACCAAGCATCCTTATTTGAGACATTGGGAAAATACTGATACCTGCGATAAAATGATTGCTGGCATTAAAGTCATTCATTTCATGGGTTACTTCTTGAATTTAAGATCAAACTATTAATTCTGTTAAAATGTTCATTTAGAAAGCCATGATTTACAAAATAATGAGCATGCTGGTGCGAAGTTATGTTGACCTCTTTAAACATTACAGAAAAAAAAAAAAAACGTGATACATGTATTAGAGGATATGCATACCTTAAAAAAATGCAAAAGTAAAAAGAATTAAAAAAAATACTGTGAGAAACTGTGAGAACTTTATCAGGCACTCTGATACATCACTCTTTATCTCACGCTTTAATAAGACTGTACATTTTGTGCATTTCATTACCAAGTCAAACAAGGTACTTATCAAAGTCGACCACCATGGACGATGTTTTTCTTAAAAAAAAAAAAAAAAAAAAAGAAGTGCATACACCTCACATGTAGCGAAAAAAAACAAAAAAAACAAAAACCAAATCCTTTTCTCCTATTTGAACAGCAATGAAAAAAAGCTTAAGGCAAGATGCTGAACACAAAAATCCAATAGTTGATCTGGACTGATCTTTGTTCAGCTCTGGTGTTTGTTGGCATTTACCAGTTCCATCAGTAATCATCAAGAAGACTAGTGTTTTTCCCCCCGATAGTTGGCTCTCTGTCTCAGGCGTCTTTTACTACAGGTCATGAGAATCCATGACTTCCTCTCCACACCTCCTGAGTCTGCTCGGAGTCGCCGTCTCCTTCCATGCTTTTTTACGCTGGCAGGCTCAGCTTCTTCCCTTTCAACACTGAGGGATATAAAGTTAGACAGTCATCAGGAGAGAGCCATCTTTATTCCTGCAGCCACACTTTATTTATTCCACTGTGCACTGACACTACACATGTAGGATCACTTAAAAATGGACCATTCCTCAGTCTGTGTTCCCTCTCTGTGGCTCAAAGGCTTTGGGAAAGCTGTCTTTTAAAGATGAACCGATCACTAATGCTACAAATTAAACATTAATTTTAAAAGGAATCATTTTCATTTCCAGCAACTCTCTCTTTTGCATTCAAACAGTGTGGCGTTACCTGATACAAGCTTTCATGTTAAAAGGTTAATTGATGACTAGAAAAATCCTTTAAACAGCAAACAGAAAGATGTGTGAGCCCCCATTGTGCGGGAGCAAAAGGACAAGTACATCCAAGTGTGTAGTTTTGCGCAGCAGTCACATTTGATGAATACAATCGTGAGTTTTCAGGAAGAGCCAGAGATTTTCTGGGTGACGTCAAGCTTTTTCACAGCAGTTAAGAACGCCCTCTGGCTCTTTTGAGTTAAACTGTTCCAAGAACTATGTCCCCCGTGCAGAGAATAAAAGTTCCTTTGACGTGTTGATGAATGAAAAACAAACATATTTCTCATGTTCAATCCACTTGCTTTTATATGGATGCTTAACACATTTGCCTTAAATGAGAGCCCTGGTTTATTTCTGGGAAAGGACACAAACCCAGGGGGTCACAAGCTATGGGACGAGCCTGATTAAATGAGATTGGGATTGCGTCAGGAAAGGCAACCAATGTGCCAAATCAAACATGCAGATCCGTCAGCTGTGATGACCTTTTAAAAGGTCAAAAATAAGGGAGCAACTGAAAGTTCCAGATAAGAATGTTAAAAAAAAAAAAAAAAATCATCCAAGTTGCCCCAATCAACAAGCTACAAGTAACAACTAACAACCAACAAAATGAGATCCATTTAAAAAAGGAACTTAAAAAATATCAACTAAGTTAAAATCTAACAAACTTACAAAAAACATCAAATTTGAGTTTCCAAAGATCTCTGTAGTGACAAACGAATGTCTCCACAGATGCAGCAGTTTTCTCTAATAACGCTGTTTAAACAGTGAATTGGTTTTAATGGCTCTGAAAGCCCTTCGACAGACTGGCGAACTGCTCGGGCTGTATACTGCCTTTTGATTTGTGCCAGCTGGGATTTGCTCCAGTCACCCCCATGTCCCTGAATTAGATAAGCTGAAGGAAATGCATGGGTGGGTTTTCAAAGCACTGTAATTTGGCTTTGTAAAATAGAAAGAATATTAAATAATAATAAAATACAAATTCAGTTGATGCTAACAACCATCAAACCAGCTGGGAATTTCCAAATCATTGCACAACATCTCCTTTATGCCTTTCCCGGGACACTCGATTTACAGTAACATAAGGAGGGAATTTTGTCTTAAACAGCCATAACTTAGGAGAATTTTCTTTCAGGAAACTTGCGCTGCTGAAACGTCAGATTAGCGTAGGCTGAACTCTAGGATGAGGTTTTTCCAGGGAACAAGACACTGGATGTTTACACTCATCACTTTCATCAAATTTAAGGAATGATTTCAGGGCCAGCGAGGGCACAAGGAGCAACTACATCAACTAAAGTGTCCCCACATATTTCACGTCTATATAAACAATAACAAATTAGCCAATATCTGAATAATATTGATGCTTAAACCCACCTTTGGTGACATAAAGATAGAAGAAGTCACAGTAGAGGACAGTCTGGACCACACCAGCCACTATGGCAATCATGTCAAAGAAGCCCTCAAAGTAGAAACGCCAGATCCAGTTGAAGAGGTAAAGGGCCCGATACAGCCCCAGGCAGAACAGGTAGTGGGTGGTGATCGTCTCAGCCTCCCCGGTCTTGCTGATCATGAAGAGCTGAGGCAGAATTGCCACCGACTCCAGATAGATGGAGAACGTCCACAGGATCTGAAGAAGATATTTACATATTCAGGAACACAATTTTACATTTACTCCCAAAATGTCTGGTTTGGAATAGATCATGTGCCTCACACTTTGACTGCGATACAGCAGTTTGAACTCACCTCCAGGGGAGAGAAGTCATGGTTAATGAGAACAGAAAGACCCCCGACAGGAACCACCAGGAACTCCACTCTGAAACTGTCGTGGTTTCCATCGTAGGTGGCCCTGAACTTCGCGTAGATTAGGTATACGGTGGCATATGCGCAACCAATGTAGATCACCTGGCAAACAACAAAGAACAGCCTGTCACTGAAGTGTTCTGGGAGAAATGGTGAAACCTATGTCAGGGTCAGGTCTGTGTGGTTGGTGGTGTCTTACCTTCATGCATGTGTTATACAGGGAGATGAAAGAGGTGAACAGATCCAAGTAACGTGTAGTGAACACAAGAGCAAACAGAATTTGGCTCTTTCCAGAGATGCCTTAAAATATCAAGCAGAAACACAGTTTAGGCTGACATATACCTCAGCAGTTCACACAAAGCTTCACAAGCAGCCTGGGCAAAACACAAATCGTGTTTTTTTCTTTATTGAACAGTGACATCTGCTGGAAAAACAGATGAAACAAAAAACAAGACAGTTTCTTTTCATTTGGATTCATTTTAAAGGGTTAATGGAATAATGAGTGATGTTAGCCTGTCCTGATTTGCCCATGGGACTCCAGTTTTTCCCACGTATCCCAAATACGTGGAGATTAGATTTTTATTTTGTTTTTTTAAGTAGCTGTGAATTGTTCATATCTGTGAGCATGAGTAAAACTGTTATCAGACTTCATGTCCTGTCCAAAGTGTACCCTGTATCTTCCCATGATACAGGGTACACATGATTCAAGAACATGATGCACGACCTCAAAACCACAATCAGGTCCTAATTCTCCAGGAATCTCAACTAGTGTTTGCTCGAAATTCTTCCTGATAAACATCGGGGGTTTTCATCAAGTGGCATCTTCACTCTCTGTGGCACATTTGACTTTGGCCTGTTCAGTGTGTCTTTTTGGAATCTATAACAATCTTTCCTGAACAATGTCAAATGTTTTGATCCATGTTCTTTATATTCTTAACTGATATCACACTTTTTAAGGGTATTTTGGGTCGGTCATCGTGTGCCCTGATCTACCGGTGGCAGTGGTAAGAGACAGGCAATGTGGGGAAATAAATAAAATAATAAATAATAGGAGACACTCTTTATAAACAGCCGTGTTTTTTCAACCAGTTTCCACAAGTAGACAATATTCAAAATTATTGGTCATTAAAATCAATGACCTCAGATCAGAAGATGCTATATGTTAAGAGTATGTATATTCAGAATAAAAGCAAATTATTTGTATGTTCATTGTATGTTGATGTCACGCTGAGTGCATATTCATTGTCTTTCAATTTTAATGACAGACCAGTTCAATTAACAGCCTCTCAGATTTACTTTGAGTCATCTCTTCCTCAACACAAGTTAGATTTTCTCTTGGTTTCGTTTCATTGGGGATCTCCATAAGGAGTCGTGTAAGTGACCGTTAAGACCTATACGTTTTAATAAATCAATCAATATTTTATTTATTCCTTTAACGACACAAAACTTCCAGTACCTTCAGATTTAACACAAAGCTACATATTCTTCAGGTTTTAGCTTTTCACCCAAAACGCATGCGTCAACTTTTTTAATCAATCACAAATCTTTATCGAAAGTGGGACACAAAACTGCCCCCCTTCTATGACTTCTCTATGACTTTAGATAATCATAGACTGCATAACTGCTACCTATGTTGTTAGTTATTATTATTAATGCCTAAATTTGTATGTGAGTCTATAAGCATAAAATGCATTTTTAAATAAGTAAAACTTTGTACAAACTCTTTTTAGCAGGCTTGCTACTTCCGTAGCGCTTTCTAGAACGCCACGTCAGAAGCCAGACCCAAAAAATCGAGCCCCTCACACTTATACAGTCAAACTATCCGAGCAGGAGTAAATGGATGTGAGGTGGAGGGGGTGGTGCTGAAACGTAGAAGCAGAAACTGCAAAAAGTTGTTCTAAATATATTTGTTAAAGATTCCATTAATGTGCTTAATTGTCCAGTAAGCAGTAGGAACCCAACTGACCGCACTCAACCCACAGCTCGGAGAACGATTAATGTACAAAAGGAATTCATTCAAAGTCAACCGTTACTTTGATGTGTTTGCGTTATATTTTCCACCAACTTTAATATTTCACTCTCTAACTGCAGCAAACTTAGTAGTAGCTTGTGATGGAGATGCAGGCAGCACTTTTTAGCTGCCATCATCAGTTAGCCCATTCAGCAGCTATTAGCCGCTGCTTCAAATGAATGAAGAGGAAACGTTAGCATTGCTAGGTAGGTAGCTTAGAGGTTGCTGCCTTAAAAGATCAGATTTTTTTTTATCAATTAACACAAGTGAAACGGAACTAGTGACATTAGAAAACCTCACTGTAGCATTTATATTAAAGCTATATCCGGTGCTCACCTGCACACGACCTGCTTTTCCATATTTTGAGTAGCAGGATGATGATAGCAGCCAGATGAGAAAGATCTCCTGTGAGCCTGAAGATGTTCATAGCTGCGAAAAGAAAAATAACAGAGACACAACTGAGAAGCTAACGTGGACTCTGAAACGGGTCACACTTGATCCTGCCTGGTGTGAAGGATTCTTCTGCTCAACTTGGAGGCACAACACACCGGGATTCACGGGCTTGAAAATATGGCGAGAGTGCAGGTCGACGTGGAAGGGGGCGGGACAAAACACATAGACAGATTTGCATTGGACCAGAGAATGAGTGACAGCAGGAGAGGACCCGCCCACAACAAGCACGACGCTGAGAACATGAGCCCTGGTTGAATGAGGAGGGGTCATCACAGACTTGTAAACCCCATAAACCTAATAACTGGCTGTGCCATCCGTGGCAGCAAGAACTGGCTGTTGATATGATTTTCTTTTTATGAAATGCTCTCATCAAAATGTTTTTTCTGGCATACGTAAGACCAGGCTTTGTGATCTTTTTAGTCATCAATGGTTTTCTCCATGGAATCCTCCCATGGAGGCCATTTTTGCCCAGTCTCTTTCCTATTGTTGAATCATGAACTCTGACCTTAACTGAGCCAAATGAAGCCTTCGGTTCCTTAGATGTCATTCTGGATTCTTTTGTAACCTTGTGAATTAGTCCTCAATGCTCTTTTGGAGTAATTTTGGCTCGCAGGGCACTCCTGGTAAGCTCACCAGTGTTCCAAGTTTTCTCCATTTGTTAATAACGGTTCTCACCGGGTGAGACTCTTTCCAGACTGATAGATGTCTATGACTTACTTACTATACTTACTGTCAAATTGGGAACAACCTCATAATTAGGTTAGCGGGGCAATTATTTAAGCAGGGCTGAGTAGGTTTGGATATTTTTTTTCCTCGATAAATGAAAAGAATAATTTAAAAACTTCATTCTGTTTTTTTACTCAGGTTGTGTTTGATTATGATGAAACGTGAAATGTGACAAATATGCAAAAAAGCTAAGAAGTCAGGAATGTGGTAAATCCTCTTTCAAGGCAGTGTAGACGCATAAATAACAAAATGTGGAGAAAATAAAATAAGTGAAAACAAAATTCCTAGAATTTACTCTCTTGTGTGAGCACGATTGCTTCATACACATTTCTCCAAACCAAAACTACACATTCAGCTTTATTGACTTGCACTGAGTTATTTACTTTCCGCATAACCCCGCATGATATTATTACTGCCAGAGTCCTGTCACCACTTCTCTACACATTCTCAATAATTCAAACTATTGTTCTACCGTTCCTAGATTTCGCCATCACGTGTGCACAGCATGAGTTGACATTTGTGTCTACACGCAAAAATGTTGCCCATGTTGGGTAATAAGGGGTGACGGGGCTATTTGTGATTTCCCATCGCCAGTGACACCAAACCTTGCAATCCTTCATTTAAGAGCGTGAAATCAAGAGTTAAATGTACGTACACTTTAAACAGTAAATACTAGTAGTACAGTAGTTCATAATATCATGTTACCATAAACAGATAAACACGCTTTGAATATATACAAATCCATTAATTGCACTGTAGAGCTGCACAATACAGGAAAATAAGAAGGAACTAGAAGACTTGAGGAAGTCCAGTCTACCACTTCCCATGTTGTCAGCCATTTAAAAAAAAAAAACGGCTGATACCAGGAATCATGAGATCATTCAGTGTCTTTCAAGCCGCAGACATGGACCGGTTGTTTTGGCATTCTCTCCTGCTCGCCCACCTGTTGGTCACAGGTAAGATCATTTTCATATCTTTGCCGTCTGTAAATAATTCCTCTAGGAAATATATGTAAAAGGCTGGATGTGATTCATATGGATTCTCTTTTGCCTGTTTATTGCAGCTGGCGAGGATACATGTCATGTCCACATATCACAGTCAAACAACGTAATCTGGAAGAAAATAGGGGAAGAAGTTGTTTTCAATTGTACAGTTATTTCCAAGTGTTCAGTAAAATTTTACTGGTTCAAAGAGAATGTCCCTCTACGACTTCATATGATTAAAAAGTACCAAGGAGAAGTGTCTTTTCAAATTAATTCACTTAAAGCGAGTGACAGTGGGATGTACTTCTGTGCCGCAGCAACTCAGAATGGGTGCTGCACACCGTTTGTAGGGGAGGGAGCAACTCTTGTAGTGAGAGGTAAGGACTATTTAGAGAGAAAACTCATTTTACAGTCATTAAAATGAAGATGACGCCTTCACTTTCTTTTTTTTTTCTTTCTTTTTTTTTTAGAAAATGCTAAAATAGTGATGGGAAAAATCGTGTTGGTATCATTTGTCCTCTTGGCTGTCTACAGCTTGGCTATAGTGATGCTCATCATTCTAAAGAAGGTGAATCACAGACACATTTATTTTAATGTGATCTATTGTGCAAGCCGGACTGAAAGTCAGTTTGTGCTGACGTGAAATTAACCTTTCCCTTTCTGTTCTAGTATGGCTGCAATATGAACATCTGCAGAAAGACATCCAAAAACGACAAGGTCTCTCTCTTCTGTTTTAACTTATGTTTGATGAATCCATTGTTTTCTAAATAGGGAAAAGCCCACAGATGCAAAAAAAAAAAAAAAAGAGGAACAGGAACGAACTAAACCCTCTGTAAATACCAAGGCAGAAAAAAAAAACCTAACTCCACCCTCCAAAAAAAAGGGCTTTATAATAAATTTTTACTCATCTTTTCCCTTATAGAAAAACGCAAATAAAAAAGTACAGTTCCAGGACGTGCTGAAAGAAATGCACAAGAAGAGAAACATGGAGAAAAACAATCAAACAGCAAGCAGAAGCTCTTCTGAAGTTGAGGTAAATGTTGTTGTTGCAGCATGTTGAGGTTAGATTTAGTCAAACAGACAGATTGTGTAACTTCTGCCGCAGGATGTCTGTAGAAAGTTCAATTGAACTGTTTTTGACCAAGTTTTAATATCGTTTCAGGCCTCGAGCAACGACCTGCAGCATTCTTCTGATGACATCTATCAAAATGTCTAAGCTTCATTCAAGGAATTGATGAATTCAGACCTCCATCATCTTGACGGAAAGGAAATTGTAAAGCCATTAAACACCAGCTGGATGATGCTGTTGAGTCTGAGGAAACAAGCAAGTCTGCAAAGGATATAAGTCATTTGTGCTTCTTATCTTTTCTCATGAAATGAGACATAAAAACTACAAAACCAGCGTGGACCAGGCGACTATTTCCTCTCTAAACGTTAAGGCTCTTACACAACCCGCCTCTCACAAAGCATTCGAAGTTGTGTTGGTCTCCACCGTGCTTCCACAGCTTCCTTGTTGCTCATAACAACTTTTTCCAAGGATTTTATTTTCAGGGCTTTCTGCAACACAAAAGGGGGATAATTAGACGATCCACATTAGAGGAATTACATCTGAATTTCACTTCTACAAAAAGCAAAATGTTACACCTTTTATTGCACGAATCATTAATCACGACGATTACTGGCAGTGAACTGACATGAAATGATAAAGCCATTTCTCATTAAAGAAGTCATGGCACTTTTTTGATAGCGCTTAATGTTTGTTACATTATTGACCAAGAATTTCTTTAAAATATTCTTAAAATCTAATCAAAAACATAAATGTACCACGGATAGATTTTTTTTTACCATTTTTAATTAGAAACAACACATTTATAGAATCTGATACCAAAACATAGAACAAAATACAGCACATGTCTGTATGTCAAATACAGCTTATGTTATCATAGGAAAAGAGAGGGCGTTGTTTCTCTTTAGAGAAATCACAGTAAACTTATTAGAAATTCACATTAAGGCAATGTTTAGCATTCTTAGCCAGCTGTGAAGCATATCCCATCCCCTAAATCTCAATACATTTTACATTATAATGTCCATTCATACACTGGATTATAATCCTTAGATTAGTTTTCACCATTTACAGCCTTCATTCAAAGACTGCATAAACGACTCACGGACCGGTACCGGTCCGAGGCCCGGGGGTTGGGTAACCGCTGATATAGATGATATATAAAAGCATCATAAACAGACAAAAAAATTAAACAAAATATTTTTTGTGCACAAAATGATCAAAAAATCAAAGTTGACACTTAAATGATAGTCTTCAAGAAATAACCACACGACCAGTTTTTTGTTCCAGAGATGTGAAGCTGTTAACTAAATACTTCTCTTCAAGTAGATGCTTGAGTTTGTGTTTCAGTTGACTCTTTGAGGATCCAGAATGTCTCGACTATTTGTTCTCATTGCTAAAGCAGCGATCTAACATCCAACTTCAATGTTTGCATGAGTAAAGTTCCTTTACTTAAGTTCATTGTTTACTCAGAACCTTTTGGCCTTCCGAACATCCACCTTATAATGTAGGATGCTGATAAGTGTAGCTGAACAGTTGGTGGGATTTTGTCATAAAAATATATCTCACACACTAATTATAAACTAACAAACTATTATAATGCTGAATTTGTGCCCCGCCCAACCCAACAATCAGTAAATGTTTAAAAATGGGAAGTAAAATACCACTTTTAAATCAAAGTAAGTGGGATAAAATCTAGATATATTTGCACCCAGATGAAAATTGCCATTTAAAACATTTACTTCTTTCCACTTCAAATATTTAAAGCCCCTTGATTTGTTTGATTTTAAGGTACTTTATGATTTACAGTTGTTCCCTGTTAAAATTTCAATATATTCACTCATTTAAATATACAAAAATACTAATTTTAAATGACTCATTTACAGATCCCAACTACAGGCAATTAAGCCAGGTTCTTTGAATACCGAGAATACTGATGTTAGCCATCAATACACTTTGTGTCAACTGTGTGACTGTTGCGAATGGAAAACGGCCTCCAAGCCAGGACTTGCAGAGCAGCGACACACATGGGCACCAAGCAAACCAAGTAGAACATGGCTCTGTGGAGGCTCTCCAAGGCACTAAAAACAAGGACAAACAAAGTGTTGGTGTAGTTACATTCATTTACAGCTGAATCATCCTGACTGTCACAATGCTAATTACGGAAACTGCAAAAGCATGCCTGTGCATGTTTACTGTGACTCGTTTTTAATGTCACTATGAAAAACAAGATTATAAATGGTGTAAAGAGGAATCAGTGGACGTACAAAACCAAATAGATTTGAGATATTTCAAGAGTCAGTTTATGTGCAAGGAATCGCTGTGAGCCAAAAGCACTCTTCAGACTCCTCTAAACAGTTTATGACAAGGTCTTGGCTCTGAACGATGTCAATCAGAAACACTATCCCTAATATGGCCAATCGTGCTCATGGCTATGAGCACAATTTAACCACCCACTGGTTAAATGTTATGTTTACGACGGTTGCCACTTAGAAGAAAGGTGGTCTAAAGGGACTCTTATTTTTATTTCCACGCAGTGGATCAAGTGAGGGCCTGTGATAAGATATATAACAATTAATTGAAACTGTGACACATACAAAGCAACTGTAGGAGAGCCCAAGAAAAAAAAAAACATTGTAGATGGAAAACAAATGTTTCAGTGGTTCAGATTTCAGAAAATTATATAAACAGTGACCTTAGAAATAAAAAGGCCAAATCAGAGATGCTGTCTCTTGAAACTGGTGTTTATTCAGTTGACTATAAAGTTGATTTTCTGCATAATAAAACTAAATAGCAACCATAGAAAAAAAATGTTGTTCTCCTTCAAATTAAATGTGCCTCTGTCTAGATTATCTGAAATTATAAGGGATCACAGTGGTGGATTTTTGGTGGTTTATTTTTACTACTTTACAGTTTTAACTTTTTAGATTAGCTTCTTATTCTGCATTTGTTTGAAATCTAAAACACACTTTAAATCCATCAGTGTCATCACAGTTTATTGGTCAAAGTTAGATTGCTGTTACATGGTGCTATTGTTTTATACAGGATGGATTATCTACATTTCAATAGAAAAATACTATATTACTACATATTTATACTATAATGGGATAAACGGCCCCAGGCTTAAAGCTGAATAGTAACTGAACGCTTTGGAAAACGTACTACATTAAACATAGGTATCAGCAGCTGCAGCAAGGCCCTCTTATTTTTTCTTCAGGTTTTTAGTGTTTACTGTACAGCAAGTTATGACATAAAGTATTAACAGACAGACTTAGGACACATGTCATAGATTTATGGGTATAATCTTAAAACCAGCTTCAAAAACATTTGCGTCCATTAAGTCAACAAGTAGCAAGAAACTCTCTGTACCTCGGATCTGAATCCTTTGTGACATCCTTCAGCTGTTCATACCCAAACTGGTTCAGGATACTTAAGACTATCATAGGAGCCAGAGACTGAGCTGGCTTTGTGAACAGTGCATTTGTTCCAAACACCATAGAAGAGAGAGGGGAACTACAGGAGGCGAGGAAGAGAAGAAAACGCATCATCACACATTAAATCATAAACTTGTTTCATTGAATGTTAGTACACAGATTTGTGAGTGCTTAAATGAAATAATGTTGCATATTTTCCTAGTTTATGTAGTAAAATCACGAGGTTTTAAAACAATGCTGTAGCAGCCAGAGTTAATGAGGTGGTTTATATTTGAATCTGAGGAATGACTGAATTAGTCATTTGTGCTGACGTTCATATTTATAGTCATGATAGTGACACAAGTCAAGGGGATGGCAGGGTTGGTCTGCAGGCCCACCAGTTTGGTCCATCTCTGAATAAATACTAATAATATTCCCATCAAACTCAGCTGTTCTTTGTTACATATAACTGACAGAAATAGTGCACAAGGTAAATGTCTCGCCTGATTAAAACTTTGGCTTTGTCGGTATGACATAAAGGACAGTGGTGTCCAAACTGTCGAATGTGTTTCTTACCTTCGCTTGTATTTCTGCAGGTCAGTGTCAATAATGTCAGCCAAAGGCAACCCAAAAAGACTGAAGGAGCCCTGAATTATAACCCTGTATAAAACATAGAAACCGAAAGGAAATAAAATCAATGCAGTATAGTAAAAAGAAATAAATTACATATCAAGACAAACAAGCCCAGCAGTAACTTCTTACATGTTAATGGTGAGGAAAAATGCCATGAAATAGTAGTGCTGAGGACCAATTGCTAGCATGACAGCTGCCATTCCAGCCTCCACATAGAAGATGAAGAGGATGATCCTGTAGTAGCCATGCCTATGCAGCAGACTCTGAGAGCTCAGCACTAAAAGCTAAAACGAGGACAGTCAGGAACAACACATTGGGTTAGGCAAAGCAGATGATTAAAAAGCTGCAAGTATTTTAAAACCCTTTTCTTTTCGGTGCTTTCAGGTGTTTATTTAGACCTCTGACATTTGAGCAAGGTGGAGAGTGGGCAGCCGAATAGCTCTATTTATGAACGAATATAAATAAATGGTTTTAAGTAGTTATTGCAAATATTTCTGCCCAAAATACTACAAAAACTGTCCATTTAACATTGTCTATATTCCCCATATTTCAACCTTGTTCCAAATTGAGAACTGAAAACTGGTACCGCCTGAGAACGGATTTCAAATTTTCCAAAGCATGAGAATCATATGTGTCGGAGTTTACCAATTCCTTTATCAGTGCAGTCAGCAGTAAATATCAACTGAAAATGATCTTTGTACCTCACTGTTCAGGACATGTGACTTTAATGGACTAAAGCAATCAGTGTGGTATTTTAAAGCATTTATTCTAATCTTTATGGGGAAAAAAACTAAAACACTAACACTGTGGGACGATACCTGTGGACAGATGAATCCTGCTCCATACATGATGCTCTTTGCCAATGATGGAAGCACATCTGAAGGAATCAGGTGCTCAGTAAATATCATGGTAAAATTATTAAAGAAGGCCAGCATGAACACCTGGAAGAAGTTCATTAGTACAAATAGCTGAAAGTCCCTGTTGGTCAGGATTTGCCATGTCAACGTTTTCAACGTGGAGAAGGAGCATGCCAATGGATCTAAAGTCTGATCAACAGACGCGAGAGCATCTGATTGAGATGATTTATTGTCAAAGCGACTCTCGCTGTGGAGGCCTGTGTAGAGCATGCAGCCACAGCTCAGGATAGCAATCAGCACAGCAAATGCCTGAAAGGCCAAGAAGTCTTCCATGTTGTTGGAAACCACACCACAGAAGAGGACACTGGATGAGCCAATGAGAGAAGCCACCTGGTAATAAATAAGAAGGGATATGAAAAGAATGACGTGCTTAGGTACATAGAGAGAATAGACATCAGGATGAAGGGCCTACCTGGTTGTACTTTATGAGTCTAAGTCTGTTCTGATGATGGCTGGAAATCTCTGCAAACAAGGCACATTGTGCCAACAGCACAAAAGTTAGCATGCCATCGAAAGCACACAGCGCTACTGTCAAGTGCAAACCACTCAACCAGTCGCCAGGGGCATAGGAACGCCACGGGAACCAGGCTAAAAGAAAAGCTAGCGAATAGAGGGGAGCGCCGTACAGGATGGAGAGACGTCGCTGAGAGCAGCAGGGTACCCTGGAGTTATCTTGCAGGTAACCAAAGAGAGGGTCATTAACTGCATTCCACACCATGTACACCACCTGTGGATAGGAAGCATGTAAAAGTATTAATAAAAAAAAATAACAAGGAAATCTGTCAGAATTTTTTTTTTAAAAAGTAAACGTTAAAATAAATAAATAACACAGGAACTTTACTGCCATTTAATTGTTTATCCATTGGTTAATCACTTATGAACTTGTATTATGAATGACAATGTTGGAGGTTTTTATCATCAGGAAAAGCTGTAAAACTTATGAAAATAGAGTTAAGCCCAAAACCTATGCCGTCCCTTGGTCCATATCAAAGTCTTTACCGAGCTGACCCTTGTCTTTGTGACTCCTGCTAGTCCTCATTTTTCATTATTCCACCCATTTTGTGCAATATATCAGTACCACTGGGCGCAAAACTGCCTTACAGCATAATGCTACCACCATCATGTCCAAAGCTAATGGAGCATTCTTAAGATTGAAAGCCTCAACTTTACTTCTCAAAAATTCCTTGCCACTGTGTCCAAATAACTCAATTTTTTTTTGCCTTGTTTGACCAGGTTAGGATTAAATCTTTTTTGGCTTGTCCATGTGAGCAGCTGCAGATTTCAGTCTAACTTGAAGATGCAGACTTTGGAGGAGGGGCTTTCTATCTCGGTTGACACACTCGCAGTCCATGGCGATGTAAAACACACTTCACTCTGGACGGTGACGCTGGTGCTCCAGCAGTTTCCAGTTCACGGTAGCCTTCAGCTTTGGTGGTTTTCGAGTTTTTCCTGAACATCATAACCCATTTCCTATCATCTGAGAGTGACAGTTGGGGTGTTCTTCTAGACCTCTGCAAATTGCATTTGAATAACTTGTTTAAACTGATGATCTTGGAATTTGCATTTGTTTAGAAATGTTTCCAAGAGACTTTCCCATCCTGTGTAAATCAGCAGTTTTCCTGCTTAAATATTCACTGAGCTCTCTGGACTTTCCCATTGTTCTGTGTATTTGTTATTCCACTGAGTGCCATCAAGCAAATCCTTTTTATAGTGGTAGAGAGAAACTACAATTACTATTCAATCATAATCAGTAATCGTTAGGTTACTAAAATAAGTCATTCCTGGGCATGCATGTTAGACATCGACATCAACATCAACATCGGCTTATATTAGCCCTCTTGACTGCAACTGGCTGAGAATTTCACGGATACTGAAGTGATGTTATGAAGACAGAAATTCCATAGAAACCCATAGAAATTTTTATGGGTAATCTTTTCTTTTTGATGCTTTGAAGAATTCAGAAGCCAGTTGTTTTTTATTTCAAGCAACCGGCTCTTTAAATTGTACTCTACAACTGTGCAACTCACAGAGTATTGGTCAAGAAGGACAGGTCAACATACTCACTTGTGATTGGTGAAACGCTCCTTCGGATATCTTGTACCTATTCAGGAAGAGTTTCACATAGTAGAAGCTGAACATATTGTTTATCATGCTAGACCCCAGAGTGGTCATGGCATAAGCCAGCGCTGCAGGGTTCACCCCAAAGTTTATCAGGTGTCGGAAGACATTCATTGTTCCGGTCTGGAAACGCTCGAGACAGGTTTCACCTTCACGGCCACGAGAGCCTAACCAAGTTAAATGTGTCACTAAACGAGCAAGGAGCGAGGAGGAGTTGTTGTCACCTGCAGCATCGGTTTTACAACGCTACTGCTGTTTAGCATTGCTAATGATACTGCTGTAAGAATAGCAAAATTCCACTGTGCAAAAAAAAAAAAAAGAGTCTGGCAATGAGACGAATATTGTTCCTGTTCACTAATTCCCATGAATGTACACTTGTTAGGAAGTAACACTTGCTAAATATTTACCCAAGCATGGTAAAAAACAGAAAATCTACCCCAACGAAGCTGTTTTGACAGTCACCAACGGGCGGGACTTCAGGATAAGAAGCACGATCTGATTGGGCATAAAAAGTTCCTTCCTTGTATTTACTGCTTCGTAATTCGTCAATACAAATCTCCATCAGGCAACGTGGGACGTTACGACAGTGAAACTTGATTTTAAAATATTTAACTGTCATTCCTTATTGTAACTTTATTTAACTGTGCATAAGGATAAAAAAAAAAAAGCAAGTAAAATGTGTTCAGTGCGTTTCTTAATTAATCGATTAAATGTCGTATATGCTCTTTCTGCCTCCTGCCGGATTCTGGGGTGATTTGCCACGTTGCTGTAGACAACAGACTTTAAAGCCTCTCACACACCGGGGAGGATGTGAGTTACGTTTGACCACTCGAGGCGGTGGACTGCGGTCAGCTTCTAGCCGTCAAACTCAAGTGTGTGGGGCTCCTGTCGGGTGGAGTTTTGGGTCACCCCTCGGTTTGAAAATGCTAACCGACATGATTTTGGAGGAAGAATTTGAGAAGAATGGAGAGTCTTGGTACAACCAGCAAGAGCTCGAACATGGTAAGAGCCGCTCAGCCCTGAGGTCGCACCCTAACTCTGACTGACTGCGTCTGTGTCTGACTGAGTTCTGCAGGTTGTGTTACTCCAGTTTTATGTTTTATTTTAAATGAGTAAATTAATGAGCGTTGCTGCTACTGTCTGCCTATTGTAGCTATTGTTTTTTAGTTAAGTTTCAGTTAGTCTCCAGAGTGAGTTTGCTTGTTAAAGTTGAGTTTTTATTTAGTTATGCTATTTTTATGCTAGGTTAAGTGTTAAAATAGTTGGTAGAGGTAATATTTAACACATCCAGAATAGGTATTAGTAATGTAAACACAACTCATTGTAAAACTGACTCACAGCCATGAGGATGTCTCAATAAACTTATGCATCAGGGCTCCTCATGCTTGTTGATCACTTCAAATTGACCAACACTAACACTAAAGGCATTTTATGTACATTTTATTTCTAGTTTTAGGTTTAGTTCAAAAATATACTTGAAATAATTTTACTATTAGCTGAAGTGTTTTTTTTTATCACTAATGTTAGTTGTAAGAGCCTTAGGAAAAACAGTGACAAAAGCCCCTAAATAAGAGCTCACAGATTAAATTGAAGTTGAAGTCCTTGTGGCACAGACCCACAATAGTCATCCAATCCACATGAGGTCTCCTACACAGCCAGGATTTCCTGAGGCTGTCACCGGTCCCCCTGTGTTTATTGTTTTCAGACTAACATGACCCCTGTCTGTGCTTCTAAGCGAGCCACACAGATCCTCTAACCGATATCACTGTGAATAAGAAGGAGTAAGGAAGAAGAAGATGCGACATTGAACATAATTATGTGTGTGGTGTGGCAGATTTGTGAATGTGTTGTTTACAGTGTATTGTTATATGAATGCAACCAGAGTTAGGTTATAATTTAGTGACGTGAAATGGGCAGATAGTTGAAAATAGATGACTGACCAACCAATTAAAGTTTATTTGTATTTTATATCCTAAAATAAAGTAGATTTTCCTTTTGGGATGAGGAAAATCATGCTGCCCATCTTACAAGTATATTTTATCACATCCATCCATCTGTCCAGTCTCTTATGCTTGTTCAATTTCAGGGGTTGCACAGGGCAGAGGCACACCCTGGACAGGTCTCCAGTCTATCCCAGGTCTAAAAAAACAACAACTACTAACTGAGAATTGTTAATCATTTAGTATCATGATTGAATAGATGAACTTGTAGGAAAAAATTGCAGCCTTCACTGGCAACAGGCGGGCAGAATGACTTCCTGTAGCATTCCTCAGTGGGCATGGATAACAACAAAAATGCTTAGCATTTACACAAGGAGATTTAGGAAGAAATGTATGCCGCTTCATCTCCTCCACCAACTTTATGGACTTCAGAGTAGGATTTAAGATTATTAGGTAGTTCACTTGTTTATTTTATGTTTGTTCCACGCAAAATGCTACTTTATAATCCTGCTGGTGTACGCACTGTTGGTGCTGATTGCACACGCTTAACCTAGAAGATGTAGAAATAAAAGTATGTATGTAAAACGTGTGAAGTGAACACAAAAATGTGTCAAAAGTACATGAGCTTTGCACAAAAATGGAAAGTATAAATGTCCTTTGAGTAGCTACGTTTTAAATTTATACTTTGAGTACACTTCAGCCTCTGTGCTTTTTTTGCTTTTACGTAAGTAAAGAGGTTGCATCAGTACTTCAGCTTCTGCCAGACCCTTTTCAAACACAATTTCCTGTCCTTCTTCTTGAATGAAAAATGTGTTAATTTTGCCATGTCTGTTAGTGACATTTAAAGTTTATCTTGGCTTGGTTTAATTGCATTTTTATTCCCTGCACTTAGTAGTCCCACAAAAGACCAGCTTCACATGGCTGGCCAAGATCCAGTACTCATGAGAATTTAGTAGGGGAAAGGGGTCACAAGGCATGCCTTAGATTCCTCGGTGTGGGACAATGAGTTGTTGTTGTGAGTGGCACTGGCGTGAGGCTACGTTTACACACTTGCCTAATTCTTTCAGCTGTCTGTATTCAGGCACTGAGTCCATCCCGAAACTTGTGTTTGCGTGTTTTACTTGACTCTTTTTTTTCTTCTTTTTTTTTTTTGTACAGATCTTCATTTGGCAGCAGAGCTGGGGAAAACCCTCCTCGACAGAAACCATGACTTGGAGCAGGCCCTGCAGCAGATGTACTCCACCAACCAGGAGCAGCTGCAGGAAATCGAGGTGATAAATTTTAGGAAGGAACTAATCTGAGTTTTTGAGGCTCAATATGTGCTTCAGAATTTCGTCTGTCAGTGTATGCAGTTTCTGGTTGATTTTTAGGTGAATGAGTCCATGATTAGAGGACTCATTGAGAAAAGTCCATGCTGAGACATGTGAAAAGCTGTCCGAATGGAAAGTCATTGTGAAATTGGCACAGCTGAAAATAGGTTGGAGTAAAAGCTAATCCCACCCAGTCTGATCTAATAAGCCTTTGGCAAGGAGCAGAACATTTGTCTACCTAATTATTTGAAGACTTTCACTGGTTTTCCAGTAACAGAATACCACTGTTTTACTTGGACGCTGTTCCTGGTTTTGATTTTGTGTTAGAGTCAATAAAATTTTGTTTCTGTATTCTAAAAATAATAAACATCCAATAGCAGAGAGACTCATATTTTAGTTCTAAGACATAGCGCATGCGTAAACTGCTGATGATCTGAGTTGGAGGACAGCACTTAGAAGGTCAGCACACATAAGAGCCTTAATTTGTTTACGTCTTCGGTGGAAGGATTTATAGAGGTTGTTTTGGTAATCCCAATACATCTCTTTGACCCGCATTGTACTGGCTACCCGCCTTTCCAGTCTCAGAGGTGTGCTTTTGTTTCACGAAACTACAAAAGGTCTGAAGAAATGCTTGCCAAAGAAAACTGTCACGAGTCCAGTGTAGCGTTTTGAAAAGCCAAGCGCTGATGCTGATGTCACCGGTTGACCTACTGATGAAGCTGGTCAGCAGACAAATACAGGTTACAGGCCTGTGTTGTCATTAACACTACAGTACTGAGAGCTCTGTGTCTGAAGTTCATTTGTGATCAGTTGTACCCATCCAGCTTTTAAAATAAAAGGTGGGGAAGCAAGAACCTCACACAGACCTCGAGAGATGCAGCTGACCCTTCAGTTGATCCATGTGCTGTTTAATAAAGCTCTATTATAAATTATCTCAGTGAAAAGGTGGCTGTCTAAAGGCCATTAATACAGAAGAGAAACAGGAAGAACTGAATGGGAAATCAGTGGCAACAGGTCTTAACTGTCTTAGTTTGCTGTATTACCCATTTTCCTAGAAGAATGTAAAGAAACTCATTGAGTGGTATGAGTAGGAACTTGGAACATTAAATTCTCCCTTGATTTTAAGTTGCGACATGGAAAATTTTAAGGAGTGGTGCTACTCCAACTTGAAATTATTATTATTGTTGTTTTTTTCCCTCTCTTCTATACCAGTACTTAACCAAGCAAGTGGAGCTGCTGCGTCAGATGAATGACCAGCATGCCAAAGTGTATGAGCAGCTAGACACGGCCGCCAGGGATCTGGAGCAAGGCAATCAGAGACTGGTGCAGGACAACCGCATGGCCCAACACAAGATCCAAAGGTCAGTCTACCAGTTATTTGTGAATTACCCTTTCAAATCGTGTTTTAAATAATTATCCACCCAGTCAGCTTCCAATAAAAAATATACCACAGTAACATGTTGTCGTTTTTTTTTTGTTTGTTTGTTTTTTTGGTTTTCCTTCAGTTTAACTGAGACTATCGAAGCGCTTCAGACCCTCATGGAGGACCTGCAGGCCCAAGTCGGGGAGCTAAAGACTGCAGAAACAGAGCGAAATAAGAGAGAGCTGGCAGAGCAGAGGCGCAGCCTTGGAGCACAGAGCGTGTCCTGTCTTAAAGAGCTGTATGACTTGCACCATGACAGGTACTATTTTCATCACCCACATTTAGCAACACAATGCTAATAGCTCATCTTTAGAGGAACTGTTTTCACAGAGGAAATGGTGTGGTAAACTGTACCTAGCATTGTGGATTAAAGACAGTGAGTTGTCTCTGTACTCTTGATCACTTTGATCAATGACAAATGAAACATGGCCTCAAATTATCTGGCAACACCAAAGAAAATATGATTCAGCGTCTTTCTTCCTTGACATGAAAGCAAAGAAGAAAAGGGAAGCTGAAAGTATCTCAACACTGAGAGCTGGGGTCCGTTTTCTCATGCTGTGGTACCTTCAGTACGCTGCTGTCTCATGTCACGTATGCTGACTTGACATCTTCAGGTCACCCAGAGAGCTTACTTTAGACATAATCCATGAGGGAGGGAAGCTAATCCTCCCCCATTGTCACTGTTTACTAATGTGGCTGCTGCATCTCACGTCACTTATTTGGTGTATTTTGTAGAACTGTCGCCTTTAAAAATCCTGAACAATGTGTCTAGAAATTTATTTAATGGTCTAGGTGTAGTGGACTTTAAATGTCATTGAAAAGAATTATGTAATATTAATGCATTAAAAATTACAATAAAGATTCTTCTCAGACTGCTTAGAGACCCAAGTAACCTCTGCCAAGAATACAGGGAAATTTACTCTCTGCTGCTAATAAAGCCTAAGTGCTCGAAATGTATGGTAGTAATTCAACTCAGAGCTTCTCTGAACTAGATTTTGAGGACACAGTCTTATTGAAAAAGTCAAAATGGTAACGGGAGTTCTGCAGATTCTTAGTCTTTGGGTATTAAATTTTGTTGAGAAATGTAAGGTCATAAAATGTCTTTGTTGTAAAAGGATGTTAAATTAAAAACCTTAGAAGCAAAAATGACTCCGATCTGTCTTAATGTTTAATTAAATTAATATGACAATATCTAGTTTGCATTATGAAGTTTTTTTTTTTAATTATTATTGTCTTTTAAATATTTTATAATTTCCTACACTATCAAAGTGGACCTTTTAAGAAGAATGAAAAATCACTTTCACCATGATAAACAGTTTCATTTCATTCTCACATTGTAAGAGAGTTTGTTAGTGTCTGAGTCCAACCATGTTAGATCCAGTTCAAAGAATATTTCAGTAACGCTGGCAGCACTTATCACTTCAGGATATCCTCAACAACTCACCTCAGTATCGCTTTTGTTGTTTGTTCTCTCAAAGTGATGCTCTAATAAGCTCTTTAATCACCGCCTAAGGTATGTAGCCAATGGCAGTCACCTTGTGGATGGACTCTGGTCACCTTATGGCTCGTTTCAAGACCGAAAAAAGCAACCAGACCCAGAGGAGGAGAACGCTGCTCTCCAGCGCTCCATCCAGACACTTCAAAGCCAGATAGCTACTGAGCGGAGCCGCAGGGAGGCTGCAGAGCGGGAGATGGAGTTGACAGCAAGGGAAAACAGCACCCTGGAACAGCGGCTGGTCCAGCTGTCGGGCTACCAGGTCAGACAAAAGGAGCTGGAGGCCGAAGTAGAACAGCTGCAGCTTCTGTGGCGCGCCGACTGCACCAAAAGGTTGATGATGATTTTATGTGTGGAGAAGATTCAAACTGTGAAATTATTTTAGCTCTATTTCTGATATTGCTGTTGACATTCAGCCGAAGTGTGTAATTTTATTATTTTATTTTTTTTAAATGCGCGTGTTCCCCTTCACTCTCACCCTTGTCAGGAAACCCGACGAGCTGCTGGTGCCTGACACTGTATTCTTTGCCTCGGAGGACAAGCCCTGCCCAGAGCAAAGCAAGCCAGAGGAGAAGACTGAAACTGTCGAGGAGCAGAGCAGATTCGGCCGACAGAGGTGCAACAGTGACAGCGTGTTGAAGGCAACAAACCCAGATGAAATTCTCCGTAGTCACGAGCAGCTATGTATACGTCGAGCTGAGGCTGTGAAAAAGAGGGGCATCTCTCTGCTCAATGAGGTGGATGCACAGTACAGCGCACTGCAGGTGGTGTATCTGTGGAACAGAGCATTCCTAAAAAATATCTTCTATGTCAGAATGTTTGATGTAAAAGTTAATTTTTTTTTGTTCTGTTTGAAAACTGAAGAAAGATTTCCCTAAAATATGTTTGTTTTCCAGGTGAAATACGATGAGCTGTTACAGCGATGCCAGCAAGCCTCAGACGAGCTCAGCCACAAAGCCGTCCAGACATCCAGCAGTCCCTTTGCCAGCGGCCTCTCCCGCCGACGCCTGTCCAGCTCTGCAGCTCTGTCTGATCTGTCCGTGCTTCTTGAAGACGGCCAGCAGCCGGAGTACAAGGCTCTCTTCAAGGAGATCTTCACCTGCATCCAAAAGACGAAAGAGGACCTCAGCGGAAACGAACAACCGGTCAGGGACAATGAATCCTCCAACTGAATGTTATTCATCTCAATATGACTTGCTCTCTGTTACACTGTTCAGAGGGTGCAGGTGCTGTAAATGCTTTCAGGCCCTCAAAGTCTTAGACATGCCTGTTGCGTCCTTATCAAAAATTAAGTGGCAAACAGTAGCTAGATGTATTATATTTGTTGTGAGAAATATTTATAGTTGGATCAATGAACAAAAAGCACATTTTCACATGCAGACTGACTTTAAAATCCAAAAGTATTACGTCCGCCTGCAATAGTATTCAGGTTTTTGTTTTTTGTAATGGCTGCCCCGTGACCACTGGGCCCTTTGGTGTTTGGAAGAGAGAGGCACATGTAAGGGTGTTACACTGTGTTACAGTGTTTGATAAGATGGCGGTTGAGTCAGAGTTGTGTAAACTGAGAAGTTGGAATGTTGTAATATTGGACGTCTAAGGAGTTTAATTGTTAGTGTAAGTAGGTTTTTGTAAGTTGGCATTAGTTGGCTCAAACATTGGTAGTTCGGTGGCACACTAAGAGCGAAACGTAGAGTAAGTGGACACTGGAAAACGAGTGTGTTAACACCAGAAAGACACAGAAAGGCTCTGCACTTTTCATGACTGAGTTCAGTTTTATTTATTTAATAACAAAAGATTAGAGATGATTAAATGTTTATTTATTTTTTTGTTCCTTTATTTTTCTGAGAAAATTTAATCAAAGTGAAACTTAATGTACAATGCCGTGCTTCTTCTATGGTGGAAACACAAAATTAAACAAAGCATTAAAAAAAAAAAAATCAATGTTGTCTTTTGTTTTTGTTTTTTTTCTCCCTTTGGACCAGTTCTTCCTATGTGGATGTTTTTACATATATTTTGATATGGAAGCAAAGTTGTGTTGATCAGGAAAAAGTCTGTGTGTGTGTGGATAGATAGATAAACTACTTTGCTAATGGTGTCAATACAGTAAAAGGTCATTGTTCAAACAGTGTAAATCATTTCAGGAAAAAAAAGATGATGCTTCCTCCACACACAGAGTTCATTGTTACCTACAGCAAGCCAGTCATTTCTCTCTGTACCATTTCATTTTCACTTGGTCTAGTTTTTCTACACAGACGTCTGCTGCCTGCTTATCTGATGGCTTTGTGAGGTTACCATGTGTATGTCTTGCTAAGACCTGTCCCTTAGGGCGAGCATGGTATGCAAACTTCTTGTTTGGAGGTGCACAGAAAAAAATATATATATTTTTTTTCTTTCTTTTTTTTAAAAAGGTGCAGACTGTTTTGCAGCATGCTTTTTTTTTTTTCATACATCTGAGAGATGGCATCACTCCATAGCTTTTGAGCAGATATGTTTCAACCTGTTCTTCATTTCAGTGCATAATTGTGAGCTATCAGCAGATGAAAAACAATCTTAGGAGTATGTACCATATGGACTCTTATTTCTTGCCTCTCTTAAGCTTCTGTTACCTAATAAAGTGAACACTGCTATAAAAGCAACCGTAAAAAATAAACTCAGTTATCTGTAATGCTGCTGTTTTTGTGGGAAAGAAAATCTAATCAACACACACAGCAGTAGTGAAGCATATTTTCTGCAAAGCTCAGAGTTGCCCTCATTCTTAAAGGTCACTGAGACCTTGTGTACGCTGGCACAGCAAACAATTAAACAACCTTTTGTCTCGCTTCATAATTACCCTACTTTCCACTAGTTCCCAATCCATTAAACCTCCAAACAAGAAGTTTGCATACCATGCATCTAAGGGACAGGTCTTAGCAAGACATGCACGTGGTAACCTCACAAAGCCATCAGATAAGCAGGCAGCAGACGGCTGTGTGGAAAAACTAGACCAAGTGAAAATGAAATGGCTGGCTTGCTGTAGGTAACAATGAACTCTGTGTGTGGAGGAAGCATCATCTTTTTTTCCTGAAATGATTTACACTGTTTGAACAATGACCTTTTACTGTATTGACACCATTAGCAAAGTAGTTTCCATCATTTTGGGGGTGGTCAGCCAGTTTCACAAGAACATAATCCAGTGTTGTTTTGGGCAACAAAAGTTCATTTGATCTGCACCAGATGATATAATTAATTTGATTGTGTGCATATAACATTCACACTTTACTTGAAAACTTCCATATTAAAAATAAAAAAGAAAGGAGTTGCAGCTGGCAGCTGCAGTTACCTGGTCAATTAAGATAAAGTAGATTAAGACAAATTTAATATTAAAACATCCAACAGTGTATAAAATACAGACAGATGAAAGCAACATAAAGTGCATTGTTAAGGTTTATGGACCACCATGAGCTACCAAAGAGCCATCGGGGCAGTTATTAGTCTCTGGATCTGGGTCTCTCCTCACGCTATTCCTTCATCTGGAATGGAATAAGACAGATATTGAATGGGTAGGGAGTCTGTGTCACATGGGGACCCATCCCATCTAAGTGTGTTTGGTAGATGATATTTATGAGAGGATATGTAGAAGAATAGGAGCTCATCAGGCAGATGCCAAGAACCCCCTAAAGATATGAGAAGGACTACAGGTGTAGATAGCTCAGTATCATTCATATGGCAAACTAATGAAATATCTCTGGCTGCTGCATTTTCTGTTCAATATCAGAGGCTGGAGCCCATCAAACATGTGGGCCCAGGGGTCTGTAAATTAATGAGCAATACAGTGGTAAACATTGTCCATCAAAGTTGTCTGTATGATCTGTTGACTGCAACTTCCCTATCATATGATTCTTATCATTTTAATTTGCAGTGATGAACTGAACATAAATCATGAAAGCAAAATGACCTGTGCTGCATATCAGAGCCCCCAGAGGGCTTCAGTGTGTCGTGGGTTTATGCATTTTCCTTTATTTTGTCACCTTATTTTTCTCTGCGGCATATAAAGGCAGACGTTTCTGAAAGACCTGACAAAACGACGCGAACGCATAACAGGTTACACGACCTTACGACGAGTTATTTAAATCTAAGTATCCGAGAACTAAAGGTGTGGTAGCGTGGCCGAGTGGTCTAAGGCGCTGGATTTAGGCTCCAGTCATTTCGATGGCGTGGGTTCGAATCCCACCGCTGCCAAGAATGTATTATTTTCTGGATTAGCCATGATTCAGTTGAGTACGTGAAGGCCGTAGACAGGTAGATTGGACCGGATGTCATGAATAACATATTAAATGTCCAAGCGACGATGTGAATTTTAACGCTGCAGGTAACCCTTGCCATTCTTATGCAGTGCAAGTGCTCCCCCATGTGGCAGCTTCAAACATGACAATGTTGCGCTTTCAACCAACACTGATCCCGATAGTTTGGATATCCGTCCTTCAGTCTTTTGTCCCTGTTTCTCTAGACTGGCTTTTTGACAGCCATCCTTCCACTAAGACCACTTTTGATGAGGCTTCAGTGAACAGTTGATAGCAGCTGAAGACTAAATGCATCTCTCGGGTCCTTTGTCTGATCTTTGCAGACTTTCAGATACAGTTCATCTGCTGAACATATTTTTTTAGGTCTCCCACTTCTTCTTTCGTCCTGCACTTGACCAGTTTACTCATATTTCCTTAAAAACTGACCGCACTCCATGCTGAGATATGGCAGGTTTTCCCCTAATACCTCTTCACGAATCAACTTGTTCGTCCACAAATACTATTTTATGTCGGTCAGATAGTGTTATCTCGGCCATTTAAATAGATTCAGCAAAAGATATGTGAACAAATGATGTGTTTTTGTATGACAGGCTACTAGTAACAAAGTGCTGACGATACAATTTAATACTGTCTTTTATGTGTTCACACAACACTCGTTCGTCTCTTGAGTTAGCTGCCTTTTTATGCTTGAATGATTCATAAGCCAGTGAATGTGGTCAGGTACAAGGACTGGAAAATAAGTGCAAAACCAGCCAATGTGCAAGTAAAAAGTTTGAAAAACCTTCAGAAAGCCTGAAAAATAAATTGCGCATAACTACAGCAAAAGACTATAATAATGTCTTTGAACCAAAGAAATTAAGGGTGACTCAATTCTTTTGCACAAATACAGTATATGTAAATATGGTCTCTGGAGTTTTCTAGATGCTTTTATTTCTAAAAGTGTACAAAATTTGCAGCTACAATAATAACTGAACTCTATGAAATCACAAGTCTTTATGATACAAATTGGAAGCATGCTTTAAATACATTGACTTACAGTTCAGATAATTTTCTTTTTGTGATATAAAGTTAAATGTTTGCTTTAAAATAAACCACAATAAAGTCAAATTCCAGAGAAGTCAATAACATTCACATAATACATAATAGCTTTCAGCCGCCTGCTAGACTCACGTTAAACTCAGACACACACTGCGGTCTAAACATAAAAACAGCGGCTGTTTTTGAAAAGGGGAAACACAGAACTTGCATAGCCTGGTATTCTGGAGACGTATTTTTGGAGCACGTTCAGCTGGGTCTGGTGATTTGTTATTATCAGTCAGTCACCACTTACATTGTCACACTGTAATCAGTTAACAGAAGCTGTGTAAAAGCAGAGTCTCTCATCTGAAACTGCAATGCCTGAGATGAATGCAGTGCAGCGGAGCATCAGTGAAGGAATGTGTTTAGTTCTGACAAATTACGCAACATATCATGAGTATCACCACGCTGAAACCCATCAGAAGCAGCAGAAAAAGGCGCCGGGGCTGCCGGGAGGTCCGGGACAGGCTGAAAAGCGACGAAGTGTTGCAAGGCGGTCGAGACTTCAGGTATTGCTCCACAGAGTCTGCGAGGGAGTAAGGCTTCGGGCTGTAGCCCAGATCTCGGCGGGCCTTGTCAATTTTAAAAGTGTGGCTCACTGCGATGTTCCTGACCTGCAGCGGAAGAGATGAGGCATTTATAGCTTCTTTTTTGTTGTTTTTTGTATTTCTTAATACAGAGTCATCCAAGTTAAAGGTCATTCTGTCAGGTTAACGGCTCACATTAGCCTCAGTTTGGCAAACTTAGTTTTACATTGTGATAACCTGTGACTGACGGATGCCTCCAGTTACTGTGTCTTCTTTCCTCTGAGTCTAAGGTTTCGGCATGTGAACACAGACTGACAGAAGAGGTCAAACAGACACCGGTGAGACAAAAAAAGAGTTCCTACTGTCCCTTTTCTTTTTTCCATCCATGAGTCACATTTTCTTTAATGATTTCAGTCGGTACACACCTTTTAGGTCTTTGGAGTTTTCCTGCATGACTCATTCAAATCTGTTGTGTATCTACACATTAATACCAAACTGCTGAATCCTGATTATTCCGCTATACCTGACAGTTATCCTGACTATATACAGTATTTTTCCCCGTGCATTTCGAAAAGCCTTCAATTTTTCCTTGATTGTCTCACATGGAGTACATCTTGTCTTCCAGGAGTAACTCACTGCCACAGGCACCACTCCAGGACAGACACTATAATCAAATGTAGCTGAAATGTGACCCATGCATTTGTATTCTCTGGGCTAAAGTACACATCTTACAAAGTACACATATCCTTCTGCAGCTGCTCAGCTTCTCACTAGTGCCCATATGAAGGGTGCTGAGATATGCCAAGTTTTCAGCATATAGCTTCTTGGGAATCACTTTGTCCATAAAAAATATTTTATGGCAATCAAACCGTGTTATCTTTGGCATTTTCTAAATTCAGCTAAAAAAAATTGGGGGAAAATTACTTGACATGGTTTTGCAACAGCCTGCTAGAAACAAAGTGCCTTAAGAGAGCATGTCAAAATTATCTTTTATGTGTAGACACAACACTGGTACTGCCTTGACTTAGCAACCTTTTTCATGCTTGAGTGATTCATTGGTCAATGATAATACAAGATAAAGCTCTGGTTTTAAATTAAGTGAAAAAGGAGCCAAAGAAGGAAACTTTGAAAGACTTCCAGGAACCTTGGAGAGCTACTGTTCAAGACCACGTCACAGAATTACAAGAAAGTTTGACGCCCTGTAAGCAGAATATAAGGAAATGACTCGTGACTTTTTGTGATGCCAGTGGGTCCAGAACATAGCTCGTGATAAATTATAAAATTGATCTTTAATATTAAAATGTGCATTTTTGCAAAAGGAGACCATTAATGCCAAAAATAATTATAGTGTTTCATCATGGTTTTGTAGTTTTGTGATGTTTTGGGGTTTTCAATTCCTAGTTAATCTTTTCAATTCTATTTCTGATTTTAACATTCTGCAGATTGAGTTTTGGATTTCTGCTTTGATCTCTTACAGCTGTGATGTTGAGCTTTAGATTTAAAGTGTGATTTCGGTTGTGGTTTCTGTTTAGTTTTTGTTAAGATGGTTTCCTGCTGTGGTGTTAGTTTAAAATTCTTCATACATGTTTAATGCGAGTTTTTGTGTCACCATGTTTTGTCTTTTGATTATTTCCTGTTTTATTTAAAATTTCAGTTGTCCCTCACATCCTGCACCAGAATCTTTTTTGCCCATCTGCCTGCTTTTCTCTCAGTTTCTTGTGCTCTTTGTATTTGGGTAAATTTTTAGACTTTGTATTTTATTTATTTATTTATTTATTGAGCAGTAAAACGTCTCTGCCTCATGCATTGTCTGTTTTCCTCTTTACCAAACAGTTCATTTCTGTTGGCAACATTTTAAAATATTTACTTCAAGGTACTTCATTTGAAATTCTATATAAGATATAAGAATAATACCAGATGCTTAGTTGTTCCTTACAATAGATTGATTCAAAATTTGAAACTATCTTCCTATGTGCCTTCACAGACCAGGAAGAGGAAAATCTCCTCTGTGCATCACACCGTGCCTCAACCTGAGGGTTGCCGGGATCATTTGAGGCCGAGAGGTGGCCCAGCCATAGCAACCGCCTCTGCAGTGATGTCACTTCCTGTAAACTTAACCTCAAACTTCCTGGTCTGACCCACAGCAGTTTATGTTTTATTTACAGGGCAACCACTGATCCCCACAGCCAGCAGCTGCCTGAGAGAGAGAGCCTGCGCATGCAGGCCCATGGTGCTCAGCTTTGGTTTCTGTCTCATCACACATTCATGAGGACCTCACAGGCTGCGCGTGACGGAGGCGCCTTAAGACGTGTTGTACTCCAAGCTGCTCCTTTAATTTTATAGTTTTTTGAGTCAAGTAAATATATGCAAAACCATCACAGATACAAAGACAGAATTAAAGGTTAAGTGTTTGTTTATCTGCTGAATTTAAAAAAGGACTCACTTTAGTTTTTCATAATTCATGTGCAAGAGATAGCATCAGATGAGGGAGGGGGGACTGGGGGGCGGGGGGGTGATCGGAAATATTAATGTAGTCAGTCTCTGTCGTTGGAGAGACTTAAACATGAATGTTCTCATCAGACAGCGGGTAACTTTATCTCCAAGGTAGATATATATGTACCGAGCTTGCCGGTGCTGTAACGTTCTGCAGTATAGAGTGACATCTTGTGTTTGCTGAGTCAAAAATAGCTTTCAGAATCAGACTTACCCATTATAGAAGAAGAAAGATGCATAATTACCTCACTTCTGGTGAAAAGGAGCGGCACCGTTATCACCGGTCTCAGAACCACGTGCAGATATTCCACCAGGATGGCTTGAAATAGGAAGAAACACACACACACACAGTTAGCAGCAGCTCACCAAAGTTTCACTCAACTATAGTGAAAGAGAAAGAGAGAAGAGGTACCTGCTGAATAGACGAGTGAAACCGGCAGATTTATCAACGGCTGGCTGTAGCCCAACTTCTCAAACTGCAACAGAAAGTTGCATTCAAAACAGAGGTAAAAGTAGCTTTCAGAATCAAAGTTACTCTTCAGGTAATCGCTGGTTTTAGCTTTTTCATTAAGTCTGCTGACAGACGGAGGCATCAACTCACCAAAGGCATCAACCATTCAAACAGATTGACCGAAACGCCATCGTTAATAAAATAGGCCTGTCCACTCTGCAAAAAGAACAGTTAACATGTTAAAAATGACCAAAGCAGCTGTGAGGCCAGAGCAGTGGAACTCATCGTGTTTACTGTTTAAATTTTCTGAGGTGGACTCACAGCGACACAGCTCCTCTTCAGCGTGAGGGCCTCAGCTGCCTGTCTGTGGGCCAGTACCAGGTTATCTACGTGCACCCAGTTCATTTGAGCCCGGGGGTCACCAAAACGGAAACTGAACAACCGACGCTCCACGTTCATCTGAGCAGGGGACAAAAAGCTCGTCTTGCATCATGTTCTTGATTTAAACATGGACACTAAACCCGAAAATGTGTCAAACTAACATTTTGGATGGTGATATCTGCACACACTGTGCAAATATCTGGTCTAATTCAAAACCGGTCTGGTGCAAAAACCTTATGTTCAACCCAGTGTTTTACTGTCAGTTTTACTAACTCTGGGTTTGCTAATATTTAAGTCCACATGTATACAGATTAATTCTACATTTTATTTCACATCAATTCCAGACTAGTGGTTACAGAGACAAGCAACCGACAGAACATTAAAAGTCAACGCTTCTGGCCTCTTGGCCGGTAGTAAACCCAGAACATAATGTAATCCTTGCAGCCCTTCACCAGACTGTGCTGACTGCCGCCTCGCAGAGGAGACACTGGAAGAAAAGGCATCCGTAACTGGATGCCAGAAGAGCTCCATCAATAATGCAAACTCTTCAGACAGGAATAATTCAGCCAGCGAGGCTTCAGACGCCGCGAGATGAACATTTTTTTCCAGTAGCAGCACAGAAGTAATTCATCATCACTATAAGACACGCTCGCTTTAGTCCCTTACCATCACTCTGTGTAGGTGTCTTCTCTCTTGTGGTCCGTAGATGCCACAGGGCCGCAGGATGCAAGTGCACAGCGGGCCTCCACCTTCATAAAGGAAGATCAAAATGTCACTTCATAAATATTTTAAAGCTTTTCTTTATTAAAATCTAATTGGGATTTTTTTTCTCCTCTAGAAGTAGTGGACTAAGTACATGCATTAAAATACTAATGTTACAAGTACTTAAAATACTCAGAAACAAGGAAAAGGGCTGCATTAAGACTTGTGCTTATTTATATCTATTTATATGATCCTTATAATGTAATGTATCAAGATAGTTTTATATGTTGTATGATTAATTAACACAGATTTAAGGCAAATAATAACAACAACAACAATAACAATAACAATAATAATAATAATAATAATAATAATAATAATAATAATAAGGAAGAAGCAAAGAAGAAGAAAACTTCTGCAAGATAAATTTGAATGTATTTTATGTTTATATCATTCACTGTATTTATATCATGCCAATTAAAGGAATTTTGCAATATAAAGAACCTACTTCCCCTCGAATTTAAGCCAGGACATGGTAAGAGTGGGATTTAAAACTCCCATTTAACAAGAATAAACCTCCAGCAGAACCAGTGAGAAGTTGTGGCAGGTGAATGGAAAGAAAACGATTAAAAGGAGAGCATTGAGAAACAACAACTATGGCTGGACATTAAATAAGCCTGTGAAGTGTTCTTAAGTAAACCTTACATATAGACTCAATCAGGTGGAGCAGGTGCAGTGGAGCAGATTTACTTAAAAATGGCTTTGTAGGAGTCACGTATGAATTTAACAAGACAAAGATGTGTATGCTGTTCATTAGATGTTTAAATGGTGTTTGTGTTTGATTACGATCATTTTTTGTGGCTGATCTCATGATTGGACCTGATTGCCAGTATTAGGAATGGAGTCAGCTGGAGGGCAGAGGGGTTTTTCTCTCTCTCTTCTCATTAATAAGGATTCGAAACTTATTTTCCAATCTCAGCGAATCAACTGAATCAAAACAAAAGTTTGCAGACCCAGTCTTAGCATCTCAGTGACTTTTAGGTTGTTCCTGACATCGGTACAGGCATCCTGTTATCATTATTATTATTATTACGCACACAAACACATGACCAGCTGCAGTAGATAATGAGACATGCATGCTTTTAAGCTTAATTGCATGTTGGTGCTCACTGTTGGCGTGCAGGTTTCACTAAAGGAAAGGCTTTATAAATCACAGTGTAAAAAGCAACAATACTGTATGAGAAAATGAGCCATTATATACACTCAAATATATACTTTACATGTGTGTTTAAGACATCAATGTCAAGTGACTGCTGCACTAATGAGACTGTTCTGGCCAGCGCCGAGTTTAAAGCACAATCACTGTTGTATGATCGAGTTGCACACAGAGTCTCCATGGAAACTGTTGCCTCTGTCTATTTTCTCTCACTCTTTCAAACACACATTTTTGTTGCTTTTTGGTTTTTTTAAACACAGAAAGCAAAAGCCGGGTTGCAATTTTCTCTCAATGTGCCCTTTGCCATGTAATTCAGCGATTAGGCACAGCTATCAATTTCACAACCTTTGAGGGAGCCCCCGTTGGCTGCGATGACCATCTGCTCCGCAATCGCTTTAGTTCTGGAGTAGTGGTCAATATGCTGCAACAGAAACATAAATACCGCCTTATTATTTCCCCCTAAAGTGCAGAAAATTGCTGGCAAACGTGTATTTAGTAGAATTGCAGAGCTATTATTGGTGTGACAAAGGTTTTGCTGGAACATTAGTGATGTGGTTTGTTATCGTTAGGGTGGTGAGAATGCAGTTATTTTAAGTACTCACAGCATCAAGGGGCACATATGGCACCGAAGCCTCATCACCATCCACAATCGGTTTCCCTGCAAACACCACGTTGATGGTGCTGGTGTACACTAGTCTGGGGATGCTCCTCTCCTTACACACTGTATGAGACAAAGGATCACAGCAAAGAGAGTCAAATCTATGAATGCTGACATAATGCTCAATATGCCACAATGTATTATGCAGGTGTGCATCCATTTATAAAATGTCACTCTCTAGGCACCTTTCTAAAACCCAAGGTCAACAAACAAAGTATAAAAGACAAACAGTATAAGGATAATGTAAGGATAATAAAAAAGCAGTATTAGAAAATAATTGGATTTAATGTTTAAAGAGAGTAAGGTAGTATTAAAAAAATGGGGTTAGAGTCTTGACTTGAATAAGGGAAGCAAGCCGTATTCCTGCTATCAGGAGGAAGTGAATTCCAAAGTCGGAGAGCAGAGCAGCTGAAACCTCTGTTCTCCATAGTAGTGAGATGGGGAGAGGGAATAATAAGGTGAGTGGTGGATGAAGACCTAAGTAAATAATACAAGAAGGGAGGAGCCAGGATGTGGATACATTTGAAAGTGAAAAGCAATATTTTGAAAGTGATTCTACAATCTATGGGCAGCCAGTGAAACTGTTGAAGAACAGAGGTGATGTGCTCTTTGGAGGGTGTGCGAGTTGTGATCTGGGCTGCAGAATTCTGAAGAATTTGTAATTTGTAACTTGTTGGGAAGATCAAAGAGAAGAGAATTACAATAATCAATCAAAGCAGGGACAAGGATAGCAACAGCATGGGAGGTGAGGAAAGGACGGAGACGATTGATGTTGCGTAAGTGGAAGCAGGCGAACTGGGTGATGTGATTAATATGAGACTGAAATGGCAAAGTGCTGTCGGGATGACACCCAGACTCTTAACCTGATGGGAGGGAAGGATGGAGGAGTTGTCAATATTAATGGAAAACTTGTGGGATTTGGTTAATGTGGAAGCTGTGCAGGCAAGTAGAACTTCAGTTTTATTACTCTTGAGTTTGAAAACCTTGGAGGTGAACCAGATTTAACCTTCATGAGGCAGTCACAAAGGGAGATGAGTGAAAGAGTGAAATTGGGTTGGGAAGAAATATACAACTCAGTCTCATCTGCGTAACAGTGATAGTTAATATTATATTTTTTATATATGTGATCAAGTGGAAGCATGTAAATAAGGAATAAAAGAGGCCCCAGTACCAAACCCTGGGGCACACCAGAAACAGAAAATGAACTTGAAGAGTGAGATTTAACTTGAATGACCTGAGCGCTATCCGACAGATATGAGGTGAACCAGGTGTCAGGTGTATGACTTGTGCCAATGGATGCAAGTCTTTTCAGAAGGATAGTGTGAGAGATCGTATCAAAGGCTGCACTTGGATCGATGATGAGGATGGTGAGAGAACCGGAGTCAGCTGCCATTAGGAGGTTGTTGGCAATGTTTCATAGTGCTGTTTTTGTGTTATAAGGTGGACGGAAACTGGACTGGAATTGTTTGTAGAGATTATTGTTACTGAGATGTGTGTGAAGCTGAGAGGTAACAACTTTCTTTTCTGTCTGCGACAATTTTCTTACCATTTATGACGTTATTGGTTCCACCAATGTTGACGGACTCCACCTGCTCTTTCCTCAACTAAAAGCCAGAGACAAAGAGGAAGGCTGTTACTCCTGACTGCATATTTTCTCTTCTATAGATAATACAGCCCTTGTTTCCACCTCTGCACAATAATGACTTTACATCCATCTCACTTAGGCTCTCATATTAGATTTGAAAGAAAATCAACTTTGAGAGCAGATAGAAGCCAAATAGCATTAAATATAGTAAAAATAGACACAAAAATAGGAAATATTAGATTGGATTTTGAGTGATGTACAACAGAAGAGCAAGAATACAAATGTGTCCATGTGATTTTTTTTTCCTCACTGACTTTCCTATATTTGGATTTGGAATCCAAGGCTATGGAGACTAAAGATGAACTACGTATTTGTATACATCAATGCTAGCCACTGTAGATAAGGAAAACAAGGCATAAGCAATATAAAGAGCAGCCTCATATTTTAATATGCTTGTCCTTATCCAGGTGCAATTGGAAATAAAATTAGAGAAAAAGCCAGAAGCTACATCAGCTGACATTAAAGAGCTGAGCTAACTGGCTGTCAGACTGAATTGTTTGCAGTCAAACTGTTTGGTGGGCAATGCAGTATTTAAAAAAGCAGAAGCCGAATGGCTAAACGGGAGGAGTACTCATTTATAAATGTTCTTTGTTTATGTGCTTTGCTGTTGTTTATGGGAACTTGGTTCCCACACTGAAAAAAAGACATCCATAAGTCAGAATTTGGGGTTGTTATTAAAATTTCAAGTGAATAACTTGAAATTAGGATTAGCGTTACTTACTGACTTGAAATGCCAAGAAAATAACTCAAGATTAACACCCCAAAAATCCTTTGAAATTCTGTGTTATTAGGTTATTATTTGAGAAAATAAACCAACATTTTAACTTATGGAAAGCAAAATATAGTCTCGTTTCTTTTGAGGACTTGGTAGTTATCTTATGCGTAACAGACACTTAATTTCATAGCTATGGCACACAGCTGGAATCCTTTATAAGCGTATGAACTATTGAGGATATCCACACATTTTTTAAGCACTTGTCCAGCTTTTGGGAAGCAGGAGGCTGGAGCCTGACACCCACTCCTGAAAGGCGGGGTACACACCAAAACAGTGATGCATGATATTAGATAATGTAAAAGAAAAATAGAAAATAAAAATTACATAGCTTGTGTTTAATATGCAACACTGGACACATTTATTTGTACATACTTAATACATACTTTTTGACTTACACAGCTAAAACTTACAACAGGTGTTACATGTGTTTTTAAAATATTGACTTTCTGTACTTAGTCTGAGGAAGAACCTTGAGGTGCTATTTTTCCCGCTGCTAGTAGCCTTAAGCAGCTCCTATGATTTGCATCAAGAGAGCATGGAAAAACAACCAGTCGTGCAGGTCAGCCTGTCATGTGTTCACGGTTTGAACAGAAAGCCACAGGAGGTTTAATAAATGAAACGTGACTTGTTTGAATGACTGGCTGTTGGGAAAAAAAGCAGAGGAAGGCATGAAGTCACCTGCTCTGGGCCAGACATGCCATAAGACGCCGTGTGGAACATGCAGTCAACCCCTTCACACACTTTATACAGGGAAGAATAATCTCGAATGTCACTCTGTAAGAAAGTAGAACAAGACAATCAGATAATTAGTTATAACTCTGAGGACACAAAAGATGCCTAATCAGATTCTTCTGGGAGGATGAAGGTAGGCTTGTACTGTTGATTAGCTTGAAATGTACAACAGCAAAACATTAACACCCAGTGCTTTTCATGTAAAATGGTCAATATCTAACCCCTGAAAGGACAGTTATAATTAAGGTAAGTGTGCCAAGAGGAGTGCAGGTGAAACCCGAATCATGCTTCCACCCTCTTTGACCCAGGCAGCAGCTGGTGCGCCGAGACAGATCAATCACCCGTGTCTGTTTCCAGCCAAGACACATACGTACGCTGACACGAGGAAATACTAGAATTCATTTCCCCGTCTCCACACGAAGTTGTGTCAGTTAGGTGGAAACAAACCATACCTTTATAACCCAAACCTGTGCGGGTGACACAACAGGCTTCAGACCTGGACTTCAAATGGCTTTTCATCACCATGTAGAGACCTGACATGTGTTATAAGATGTTATCAAACAATAGGTGTCCTGTACTGTTACACTGCAGTATAGTTTTAAGTGTTCTTAAAGGCAAAGCTATGAGGAATGTGTGGAGAAGAGGGGTAAACAGAGTAAAGCCATACCTGATAGAACGTCGCTCCATCGGGAATATCACAGGGAGGCTTATTCAAGTCCAGAAGGATCACTGAAAATCCTTCATTTGCCAGTTGTCTCCCAAGCCTGAAGCCAAAGTATCCCCCTCCTCCCGTCACCACCACTTTCCCCTTTGGGACACCTCGGTGCTTTTCTTCTCCCAGTCTGGAGGCCACACAGTCGGGGCTGCTGCAGGTAGCAGCGGTGGCGGTGTTTACTCTGTTTCTCACAGCCACAGAGGGGCCGGAGGCGACCGCCGGGGCTGGATGGATGACCCACGGCTGCTGAGCGAGGTGGGCGATGTTGTGCCCGTGGTGCCCGTTGGTCTGCAGGCGACAAATGGGGACGCTTTGGCAGGGAAACTGCTTCACCTGGCACAGAGACCCTCTGCTTTCAGTCATGCTGGGACTGCACAGCTCCATGGATGCTCTGATGGGATTTTAAAAAGGAATAAAATACATATTCACTGTTTCAGAATCATTGAAAACTGACCGGTAATGAGTATTTATCTTAAGTTTCTGAAAGTGTCCTGTCATTTATAATCCCTTTGTTTTCACATCATTCAAGTTCGGATAGCTGTACCACTTCAGAGTCTTTCATTATTTAAAATAGAGCTCAGTGCTCCTGAACACCACTTTTTTCTCTTTGTTGAGTTTTGATAAAGAAGATGTCAGAGATGACAACTGCCAAATTAGGCAGAATATCACGTGTTTTTCACTAAAATAAACGAGCTTAATCTATGAATAAACGCAGGTCCGACAGCGATGACGTGCACTCTTTAATTAAATAAAAATACCTTCCTGATAGTCATCTCTATATGTCACATCTACTCACCTGATTGCTCCTGTCCTCCTCGCACATCCGTACCCGTGCTGGTGGATTCATGCAATAATACAGTCTATACCTCGCCGTCGGGCCCTCTCGATGCGTCACCTTTCCCACCTGTCACACACCTGCACTTTACATCTGCTACCGTAATATTTGCAGGCAGTGCGCAGGCAGTGCGCAAGGCCCGCGGCAGCGAGGATCACATTTCTAGAAGCACCGGATTGACGAGCAAGCACCCCATTTCAGTTTTTTATGTACGGAAATTGTTTGGGGTTTTTTTGCCACACACACACACGCAAAAAAACGTAACACTTAAATTAGTTACAAATAGAAAGTTTTAATATAATAACCCAACATTTTCACTTATAGATTGCAAAAAACATAATTCTTTTTATTTTAAACATTATAATTAATTGTGAGGAACACCTCTGGTGGGAATTTGGATGCAGAGCTTAATAATAAGTAATGATTAAATGCAGAGTGGCTATACACACAAGGAGAGTGAAATGAAGTGAATGATGAAGAAATACAAAGTGCATTCTGGGAAGCCCTTTAAAGCTTTATCATAAAAGTAGAGAGGTGTATGTCTCCCGAATCCAAAGTGGGAGCTGAAGGCTCTGCCCCCCACTCTACTTTTAAATGAACCATAAGTAGGTCTTCAGTCAGAGAGAGATAAAATTAAATGTTACTGTTGAGCTGAAATTAGTCAGTCTTCTTGGCAAGTCCTCCAAAACAAAAACTAAAAAATTTGTAGTTTCTAATGTGGCCCTTGAGAAAATTAATTCCCCCCTCATGATCTAAAAGCTCCAGGGTCACCTTCTGTCTTGTGGTAAATAGACTGGATCTTTCTATCGTGCTTTTCTACTCTACTTGAGTACACAAAGCTCTTTTTACAACATATTCCATTCACACATGCACTTTTTTATGCCTAAGTGCTTTCTGTTACATTCACCCTCCAATGGGCACATGGGAGAGCAACGTGGGTTCCAGGATATTTGACATGCAGATTCCAGCAGCCAAAGATTGAACTACCAAGCTTCCAATTAGCAGATGCCCTGTTCTACCTCCTGAGCTACAGCCACTTACCCACACTTTGTCCATACAGCTCTGAGGGCTAACTGATAGTAGAGGCAATAAGGATCAACAAATACTTAACCAAAAAAGTAACTGCTAACTGTGTTCTTGCTGCCTTCTTTACTTGCAAACAGGCTGCAGGGCATATGTGAGCAGCTCAAGTAAAGTAAAAGAAATAACATCTGATAGAGCACAAGATGAACCAGGCTGTCCTGTTTTGCCTTCTGTGACAATGCTGTGGACTGGTGATGTCAAGTTGCACAGGCTTTTTAACTCAGTGCCACAGAAGGAATTTTAATTTGTATCTTTTTACCCGCTTGACGTGACACATCCTACACAGTCCCAAAAAAGAGACATTATAAAAGAGAGCGATGGCACTCATAGAAAGTAAGCCAGAAAATTCTTTGGGTAATTTACATCAGATTTCACTGCGCCCATCTTTTGATGCTTGCTTCCAGCAAGATAACATTTGGGATGTGATGGAACAGGAGATTCACAGCATGGATAAGTCTACAGCAACTGTGTGATGCTATCATGTCAACATGGATCAAAACCTTTGATGATGTTTCCAGCACCTTTTAATTTGTGCCATGCAGAATTAAGAGAGTAGGGAAGGCAGAAGTGGTCCATCCTATCAAGGTGTACCTAAGAAAGTGACCAGGAAGTGTATTTTCTGGTGAGCGTTTGCTCATCCTGCTGTCATTGCAGCGGTAAGTCAGCAGTCTGCATAAATATCAAGGACAAAAAGAAAAGGGAAAGTCTTATCTCTTGATAAATGCAAGGAGTTGTTTCTAGTACACGGTGAGTAGGGGCACAAAAACCATAAAAATGTAATTACAGTGAAAGTAAAGCATTCAAACACTTTGTGAGTTTACCTATGTGAGTCAGATTGCTACGAGAAAATAACAGAAAATATTTTCATTGAAAAGGGGAAAGAGAAAATGTGGGGTCAGGCATCGAATGACATCTCTAACTTGATAACCGGTCAGGTAAAACACTCACTCTTCGCCCTGGGCTTTTGGAGAGGACAGAAATAGAGGGCTCATTTCTTATTTAGCAGACATTGAATACACTGAACGTAATTAAAGAGGTGGGGAGGAGGAGTCTTAAGCAGCTGCCGAATGACTGAAGCTGTCTCATATCAGAGCCATTTGGAGACAAGCTGCAGTAAAAAGCATTGTGGTGCACTTACTTTGCCTTTTAAAGAAGAGTGCATTACGTGCTGATTTAATTCAGACCTCATTTTGTTCAACTAAAGTTTCGACTGTGCTTTTTGTATCTTTTTGTAGAAGCATGCACACATTTTCTAAAGTTAACTAATTTATTCATTTATTTAAGTCTCAAGCAGCTGCCGAGACGAAAGGATTGTGGTGCTTTTTGTATGATTTTGTAGAAGCACGGACCCATTTTTAAAATTAACTTATTTATTTATTTATTTATTTATTTATTTATTTATTTATTTATATGCTTATTAATCCTTTATTTATCCAGGTAAAAAAATCTCATTGAGATTAAAAATCTCATTTCCAAGAGAGACCTGGCATCATGGCAACAAAAGTCACATACCACATAGGTATATAACATTTAGGTACACTCTAAAAAATATTCATGGTGTTTGTAGGTAGAACTTAACAAAAAAGCATTTTTCTACTTAAAAAGGTAAGTTGTCTACATGTACACGTTTCAGTGAGTTGACTAATCAATGTTAAAAGTCAGTGCAACACAGAAATTAATAAACACCTCCTTAACTTAAATGTTTGAGTATATTGAACAAAATACTTTTGTCATCAATCAACAACAGAA